CAAGGGTATATAAGCTTCGGCTGGCCGAAGCTAGCTTCCTTTCTTGTTTTAAACTCATAACACTTATTTGCAGTCCATGGTTTAAAGTCCTGGACATTTTTGAGGTTTTATACAGCGGAGAAACTATAGCTGTTCTTGCTATGCCTAAATTTCGTAAGCCCATAACTTGCGAAATACTACAGCTATACCCTTGCGCTTTATTTCATACTAGCTGTACCCGGTGCGACTTCGTTCGCTTAAAATTAGTTTTGAGTAGATTACTTTAAAACCTCTGTGTAAACAACATTTTTAGAAGATCCTTCAGGAGCGAGAATAATAAGGCTACTGGCGGAGCTAACTCTAGAGCATGCGACATAAAATTGTCCATGAGAGAGCAATCTTCTCTAAGATCTAGTCCAGCCAGCTTCAAAGTCTGCCCCTGCGATTTATTTATAGTTATTGCAAAGCAAACTTTTAGAGGGAATTGTAGCCTTTTAAACTGAAACGGCAGACTGGATGGTATTAATGGGATCCTGGGTATAAACACTGTTTTCCCCTTCGCGCATCCCGTAAATACTGTTGCTTCGATTATATTCTTATGAAGACCTTTTATCTGCAATCGTGTCCCATTGCATAACTTTAGGGGACTTAAATTTCTCAATAACATTACGGGTGCTCCAATCCTGACAGATTATGCTGAGGAATTCCTGGAGGATTCAAAGAATTTAAAAATTCAACAGGGTAATGAACAGCATTATCAGCATCAGGAACAGAGTCGACCGATTTATAGAAGACCATCATTCTAAACCATCAAATGAGTTTAGCAATAAATTATTAATAGTGCTCTTTCATTTTTCGTTGTCAAAATGGCGCGCTCAGATAGCCAATCTAAGCTTTTACTTGATATGTTAGAAATGTCAGGAAATATTTTGGATGTAAGATCTTGAACGTTTTTGACTACATTTCCTAAGCGTTATAACTATTTTTCCATCAACTGTTGGATGGACGCCATTCCCAATTTTTAAAAGAGTTTCGGCAAAAATTCCTGCAGAACTGTCTCCTTTTAAGTGCACTCGCATATTTTTCGTGAGCGCTAGTTTTTTTATCTGCGGCCATAAAAATTAAGATTTTAAACAGGCCTTTATTTCGTCAGCTCTTGCACCTCGTGGCACAACAGGAAGGGTTTGGCAAAAGCTGCGGTCAAAATAGTAGCAGTGTTGCCGCCTTCTGTTTTTAAAAGTTTGATGTTGTAATTTTTTCTTATCCAATTAGTCTAATAGTAAAATTATAATCAATACAATATTACCAGGAAAAGATCAATTACAACAACAAACTTTTAAATACACAGGGCGGCAACACTACTACCATTTTGACCGCAGCTGTATACTTTTATGTTTTTTGACTATGTTTTCTAGAATTTGTTTCTGCCTTAAAAAAAATCTTAAAAATTTTTTAAGTATGGGGTTTAAAAGATAAAGGGTGTATCTTTTAAAAAACTTTAACATCGAACCAAACCATGCATCCATTTGCCTCTGAGAGCTCCGCAAAGTTGGCCAATTTCACAATTTTTCGAACTTTGAGGTCCTTTTGCTAAGAATCCTTGCGTCGGGGAACTTTTTGGAAAACTCAGTTTAACTTGGGAATTCGTAACGAATCCAAAAATATAGCATCCATCGAGGTAAATTTAAAAAGCACTAAAAATGCTGCACAGTGTAATTATTAAAATTAAACTCGTCAAATTTTGCATTAGCTGAAAGGAAATGAATAATTTTATTTGTATTTGAGCACATTATCGACTTTCAAGTAGAAACATAAACACACATTGTGTGTATGTATTGTATTGTACATGTATTGGACAAATCAAAACATATCCAAATATACATACGTTTTTGGGCTAAAGTTCGAATCTTAAGATATTTAACTTGGAAACATTTTGGCTTTGTTTACAGAATTTGTAGTAATTTTTTATCTTCTTCCATGGTGGAAATTAAATAAGGCTTTTACTTCTGCTACAAAATGAAAAATATTTTTTTTTAAATAAAAAATATTTTTTATCCACAGGACTGACTATTGATCGAAAATCATATTGATCGGAACAGCAGTTAAAGTTTTTAAAATTCAAAACAAATTTTAACTAAAATTGCCCTTTTCCCCTCCCCCTTCCCCACAGCACTACCCCTCCCCATCGACAGTTTTCTTTGCTGCTGCTCTCTCCGCCGTCGCTCTCTTGCCATTCGCTCTCTGGGTTTCGCTCTCTCGGCGGGCTCCCACGAAATGCAACGCAATAACTTAGGAAATCTAAATGAATTCGGTAAAAATACTTTTAAAAAAATGTTAAAAATTTAAAAAACTAAGCTTAAGCATTTGGGCCATAGAATAACCATTTACCAAAAAATCATCTCGATCGGAGCAGCGGTTTAGATTTTTTAAATCGAAAAGTTAATTTTAAATGTAGCCCCCAAATTATGGGGGATATCGAAATTTCTTTTAGATTTCTAATTAGGCCCTTTCAAGACCAAAAATTCTGCAAAATCAAAATTTCGAAATTCCAACCACTTTAGAAGCTAAGCTTAAGTAAATCTAATGATTTTTTGCTCTAAATATGGATATTGGAGCTGTTTGGGGCCATTACTTAGAAATGATGAAGAAAACAAAATATTTATAACCTTTCTTTTTTTTCCTCAAAAGCAGCTTTAACGTTTTAATTAAAAACTTTAATCTATATAGCCCTTGAGATTCCTTAAATTTTGGCATATAACACGTTATTGTAAAAAGTCACGTTTAAAAATTATTCATGAACAAAAGTAGCCATTTTTGCCAGCACAGAACAACTTACGCTGCCTGAGTATTGAACGTTGCGCTGTTGTTGCTTGATGCAAAGTTGCTAAACTAAAATCGTTGTCTTTACTAGTAGGTCTTGCAAATACCAAAATTTTTTTTTACCACTTCGTGAAGAATTAATGAAGCAATATGGGGATAATTTTTTTATTCGGAAACCGCGCGTATTCCGGCGTACAGAATTTTTTTAAATTTAAATTCTCTTAAAAAATACTTAATTTTAAAATTAAAAATTTTTTAAATTATTTTTCTGAAAGACATGAACATGTCTCACAAAGTTGCATACCAAATATTGAAATAACTCAAACGAGTCTCAAGTGATGCATAACTGAAAAATCGGAGCTTAATTAGAAAATTATTTTTTTAAAATAAACGGTAAGAGGGTAAAAAAAAAAAATAAAAACCGATCCTTATATTTCAATCCTCTATCGAAAAAAAAAGTTTCGATTGATTCTGAGATTTGACCCAAATTGGCCTGTCACGTTTCACGTGGAATGAGCCATATATATACGGAAACTTCTCCTTCACTGCGTTGCAAACTTCTGACTGAAATCATAATACCCTCTCCAAGGGTATAATAAAATTTTTAAATTTTTCACCGGGCTAGAAGAAATAGACGTCCGATCGGAACGCGCTTATACCCTGATTGTGCAAGCTTAATTGATGTCACAGAAATGATTTCGGCTTAAAAATCGTATTCTCATACAAGCTTTCAACTTTGTGCGAGCGCATGGTGCAACTATATGTGTAAGGTGGTCTCAGCGCAAGAGCTGCTCTCTTTTGAGGACGGCATTTGTGCCAGTCTCTATCTAGCTATCTCATTCTATCGCTTAAGAGGGACAGAGAAGTAAATATATTTAACGTCATCAGAAGAGCTGACGATACCACCTTATATATGTATTTGCACCATGTGCGAGCGCACTCAGAGCGAAGAGAGGTAAGAAGAGGACAGAGAGAACGTTCGTCAGCAGTGAAAGTGAGACAGGGATATGTACGATTTTCGTGACGGTCATGAATCGATTTTACTCCGTTCCTATGGGACCTACAGGATATAAACGTTTGAGCGGCACGCGCGTCTCTTCTACTCTGGGATATGACTCATGTTAAATATTTCCGATTTTAATTGTATCAAAATTGAACTAATATATCATATAGATGACTTAGGAACGATCGGAAAATTAATGAGAAATAATAGGAAATTTAACATTTTTGCGATTTGTAAATTAATAGGAATGATCTGCAAGGGTATATAAGCTTCAGCTAGATTCTTTTCTTGTTCTTTCTTGACTTTAGAAGTTACATTAAAATTGATAATAGTCAAATTTTCCTAAAAAAAAGGGGATATTTCTGAAAAGGTGGTGGTGAAAGGTGTATGAAAAGGTGGAAAATGCGGATAAAATTGTAAAAAATAAATCATAAAAAATACAAGGAAAACAAGAAAGGAAGTTAACTTCGTCCAGCCGAAGTTTATATACCCTTGCAGGTATACCTACTTAAAATGTTGTTTTTACATTGTCAAAAATCAAAACGCCTACTTTCTACAAAGTTAAAATAGTTTTTCTATTATTTTTTTGAATATTCCTATGGGAGCCATAAGATATAGTGGTCCGATCTGGCTCGTTCCGACATATGTACTACCTGCAATAGAAAGAAGACTTTTGGGATCATCGCGATAGCTTTAAAACTGAGGGACTAGTTCGCATAGAAACGGACAGACGGACATGGCTAGATGGACTCGGCAATTGATGCTGATCAAGAATATATATACTTTATGTGGTCGGAAACGTCTCCTTCACTGCGTTGGAAACATCTGACTGAAATTATAATACCCTCTGCAAGGGTATAAATATTTGACATTTTTTTTTTGCATCAAAACATCTTTGTGTTAAGCCCTGGAAAAAAGTTTAAAATTTGACCTTCACAATAAATTTTCTAATTTTCTAACTGTTCTAAGGGTGCTTAATGGGTTAAGAACATTTTTGTGTCATTTAAACGGGATTGAATTGATACTTTGAGGGTCGGAAGCGTCTCCTTCACTACGTTGCAAACTTCTGACTGAAATCATAATACCCTCTGCAAGGGTATAAAAACAGGGTTATGTCAATAACCCCATATGTGTTTATCTTGAAATTGGTATTAACTTAAAATCAGTAAAAACTTAAAACTTGGTCGTCCAATCTTACCCATTTCTCCACCTGCTCCACAGTCACTTGATAGTCGGAGGCGATGCCGTCCAATCGGTGCTTGTCGCGCTTGAGGAAGTCAACGAAGTCTTGATAGCTAGCTCCATTGCGCTGCTGCTGCAACCAGTGGTTCAAACCGGTGCTGATTTTCTCCTGCCACTGTGTTTGCTCCTTAAATTGGATGAGACCGGAGCTATGCAGGCGCTGTAGCTCTTCGCGAAGCCATTGCTCCACTTGGTCGATGCCCACGTGATGTGTCTGCGAAAGGCTCTGCAGCCGGTCGTGATCCCGATACAGTTCTTGCTCTACCTGCTCGTAAGGCATCTCTTGTTGCTTCTTTAGTAGCAGTTCTATTAGGCGCTGTTGTTCTTCCACCTGCCACTTGCTCATATTCTCGACCTTTACCTGGCCGGTGGTTCGGAGGTTGATTAGCTGCCGACGAAGCCATTCCTCGATCTCCTCGACGTTAACGGAATATTGGTTGGCCAGTTTCTGCAAACGCTCCCGCTCCTGGTTTAGCTCCATCTCGAACTCTACGTAGGTCAGATGGTTTTGTTGTTTAACTAAATTTTGCAGGCGATCCATCTCGGAAACCTGCCAGGCGCTGAGGCTCTTTAGGGATTCCTCCGTGCTGCCCTGCAAACGTTTCAGTTCCGCGATCATCCACTCCTCGATCTGCTCCACACTCAGGCGGTATTGATCAGCAAGGTGATTCAAATGGGCTCGGTCTGCTAACAGTTTTTCCTCGTACTCCGCAGTAGACAGACCGTTCTTGTATTCGGCAATTAGACCCTTAATGTAGTCTCTTTCCACTCTCTGCCATGTTTGCAGTTGCTCGATCTCAAACTGACCGTTTTTCCGTAAGTTCTCAATTACCTGTTTAACATAATTGTCCACTTCTTCAATATGGACGTGGTGTTGCTCCGCAAGCCTTATCAGAAAACGACGATCGTTCTGTATCTGTAAATTGGACGAATTTAATGTTAATCTATTTAAAATAAAACAAGAGAGAATGCTATAGACGGGTGCCCCGACTATCAAATACCCGTTACTTAGCTGGTGTGAGGGAGATGGAGATATAAAACTTTGATCGGGCATTACTTTTTAAGAATGGACATATTTTAAAAATTTCTTTTACATTTCAATAGGTGTTTATACAAACAAACAAAACTGAATTTTTACTTTTTTGAAATCTTCAAAGGTGTGGGCCCCAGTGACCTTTTAAAATCGTTAATGGCGGTTGTGGGTGTTAAAGGGGGCGTTGCCCTCGGCTGAAACAAACTTGCACTACGTAGGAAGCCAAAGAATATGTGTGGGTAGTCCCAACTTTTTAGCTTTTGTTGTTTCCGAGGTTAGTGATCCTGATCAAGAATATTATTATTACTATTTAGTCGCATCTAAAATCATTTTTTGCCACATAAGTTGATATCAGAACTTTTGTACGTTGAAGGTGCGATCGTCACTAGTTTTTTACCTCGTTAAGAGGTGTTTTTATTTGATATCAAAAGTTTTTGTTTGTTTACTTTTGCTCTTATAGGTGCTAATATAAACATTTAAATTTAAATTGGTCATTCATAATTTTTAAACAAGAGAGAACGCTATAGTCGGGTTCGTGTTCCGACTATCTAATACCCGTCACTCGGCTAAAGGGAGTGCGAGGGAGATGGATATATAACCTTTTTTTGATTGCGCATAACTTTTTAATTAATGATCCGATTTAAAAAATGTCTTCTACATTTCGATAGGTATAAATGTGCACAACAAAATTGCTTTTATACTTCTCGGAAATCTTTAAAGGTATGGGCGCCAGACTCATTTTAAAATCGTTAGTGGGCGATTGTGGGCGTTAGGGGGGGCGTGGCACTGGGCTAAAATAAACTTGCGCTGCGTAAGAAGCCCAAGCATATGTGTGGGAAATCTCAACCTTCTAGCTTTTGTAGTTTCCGAGATCTCAGCGTTCATACGTACAGACTAGAGGTCTGCATGAATGCATTCAAACTGACAAATGAATCACTCATTCTTAAAACTTGTATAAGTTTTTCTGTATTCATTACTTTAAATATGAGTGAATGCAGTACTTGTGACTGTATTGCCAAATACTGTACTCACTTTTCCAGACACAGTACAGTATATTGTGAATACAGTGTTTTTGGTGTACAATAACTCATTGTACAGTGAATGAAGTTTTCCCAAAATTACAAGGCCTACTGAATTTATAAAATGTTAAAGCTTGCTTATTTCTTTGTAATATTGTAATCTATCCACTAGCAGAATCACTTAAAACCTAATGCAAGAGACAAAGTGTCGTTAGTCATAAAATATTGACGGATTTATTAATACATTAATCGCTATTCAAGACATTTTCATTAATGCTGTCTATGTTGGAGTTTAAATACATTATTTTGTTGACCAGTCGAAGCAATTTTGGAACGCTTTGCGGAAATTGGATTTTTTGCAATTGAAAACGCCCTCTCCGACGGAGCGCTACTTCCCACCGGGAAAATTCCTCTGGAAAATAACATATTTTCAGGTTTCTCCATAGAAGCGGAAGGGACTAAACCTCATTCACCCCTTACATTTCTTCCATCTCTGGTTTCAAAATACACGGGGGTGACACAAAAAGTAAGGGGGAAATGAGGTTTCTATCTGGATCTCTGGCAGAAGAATGCAGGACAAAATCCACTGGTTTTTCGACTTCCCGCATTATAGATTTTCCACACGTACCCAGTTATGGTTTTCCTCCACTTGCAATATCTGCTTTTCTACACCCTCCCAGTTTTGGTTTTTCCAGACCCTCGCAGTTTTGGTTTTGCACTGCTTTGCAGTATCTGATTTTCCACAATAAAAATCATGTTTTTTGTAATATTTGTTTGTGTATTTATTAATAATATTTACAATCGAAGCATTGGAACTACAAATTTTTAATGCCTGAAGCATTCCCGGGTTTTGCTTGGCCGAATGCAGTACTTAGATATCCATTTCTTGTCTGTCTTCTGAAAATATCAAACATAATTTAGATATGAATGTAAGACCAGGAATAATAATAAGAGTAATTACCATTATTAGGTCTCCGCACAAAATTAAAGGATCTCTCCAGAAATTATGCCTGGTTTGCCATGGCCGATCATTTACCCTCTGTTCAGTTGTTTTATGTCGGGTATCTATATCAAAAACTATGAGAAGAAAAAATAAAATATGACAAGCGCAGGCGCAACACTTCTGGTCCCAAGAAGTCTCAGTCGGCCTGGCTGAAATAAATGTAATATTTTGATTAAGTTAAACAACTAAGTTAGTACTGAAGTACTATTTATACAACCATTTAATGAACACCTCACACCATTTACCACTGGTAAAGATTAAAAACATTTCAAGTGTCACTGAAATGCAGAATTTGTGTTGAAGATAGCATCCGGAGGCGTATATTTATTAATGGGGAAAATATCTGTGATACTAACCTTTGTAACGCTGAAATAAAGGTTATAAAAAGACAAAATTCATTTTATCACTCACCTTTTTATTGTTTTTTAGATTAAAATTAACTATTTTCACTTTTTTTTCACTTTTTCCAACAAATTTAAAAATGATGTGACCCTGCATCATATGCTTGATAATACTAAATGCAGATTTGATATAAATTTCGTTGTAAAGTCCGGTCACACTTTGGCGCCAAATAAGTATTTCGTTTAAAAAATACTTTTCAGGGACCGTAATCATTAAAGGTTACGTATATTATTGGTATGTTAGGCATTTTTCGTGTTATCAATACCACCAACACGAATTTTTATATTTTAACAACACTTAAAAATGGCTTAGGCCACGATCTGACGATCAAATTATTTTATTTCACAGAAAATGTTTAAAAATGTAAAAAGCAACAATAGTTTTCTTTGTAATTTAATGTAATTCCTTGATAAATGTGATCAAATATTTTAATCGTCTTACCGTGGCTTTTCTCTATAATTTGGTTGAATCCCACATTCATCCTTATTATTATTTGAAAAATGTTGAGTAAAATAAATTAATATTATCATTATAGACATTATGATAATAATGTTATATAGTTTAATTTTTTTGATTAACAATTATTAATATTTTTTCTACGACTTTTAAAATTACTAAAAATTAAAACTAAATGTGAGAACAAGTCTTTTGGTTTTGGTGTAAATCATAGGATTTTTGAATATTATATGTTGGTGATTTTCTTGTTTAAAAATATTATAATCGTAGTGCCACAGAAATCACACAGCGCATAAATGGCCTGATATTGATGCTACTCAGAAACCCACCCTCATTTAGCGCTCAGAAATTATCTATCCCTACACCGCCGCCTGCAAAAAGGAACAGGATTTCAAGAACACAAAAACCAACTTCTCACATTCCCGCTGGGTTGCTGGGACCGCTAATATTTGTAGGCCTAGTTTGTATAATAATGGAAATGTTTTCTTATTGATAAATCACCATTGCAGGACATTAAAGTCGTCACTGTACGAGATTTTAACGTGTTTATATCATAGCTCGCAAATAACTGTTGACCGATTCGTGCGGTCCCCAAATAACTGTTTTTCTCTGAGACTTTGAGCAAACAATCAGAGAGCAACCGATTGAATTGTTCGTACAGAAATTTTGCTCGCACTCAGGCGACGAGCAGTTTTTTCGGCTTTCTATTGCTCGGCTCGCTTACAGACTGATTGCTCCTGAACGACGTTTCAAAAAGTCTTTTGCGCATGTGTTAACGTTAACGTGCTTGGGCGATATTGCTCTCCCTTTCACTCGCAAGTACTTTCAAAGGGAATACATTGTATAGTTGTATTAGTGAAAAGACTTTTTGCGATGACTTTTTCAGTCAATCGGTCTTTTAATAAGTCTCCCTGTGCGAGCGACATTCGTAACTCTCATTGAACGAGGTTCGTAACAGAGCGTCTCACGAACAGCTCAACGTAAAAGGCTCAACCGAAAACCAAAACGAAAGGAAACGAAGTGTGCTGCGCAGAGAGAGAACGAGGGGCATGCTATTTTTCGGTTGTTCTCGGGAGTAGAGCGTAAGGAAAAAAACGGTTAACAGTTATTTGCATGCTTTGGTTTATATGTTTCGATTTCATCATTAATTGTATTATGAAGGCTCCCACCGGGAAAATTCCTCTGGAAAATAACATATTTTCAAGAGGTTTCTCCATAGAAGCGGAAGGGACTAAACCTCATTCACCCCTTACATTTCTTCCATCTCTGGAAGAAATGAGGTTTCTATCTGGATCTCTGGCAGAAGAATGCAGGACAAAATCCACGGGTTTTTCAACTTCCCGCGTTATAGATTTTCCACACGTAGCCAGTTATGGTTTTCCTCCACTTGCAATATCTGTTTTTCTACACCCTCCCAGTTTTGGTTTTTCCAGACCCTCGCAGTTTTGGTTTTGCACTGCTTTGCAGTATCTGATTTTCCACAATAAAAATCATGTTTTTTTGTAATATTTGTTTGTGTATTTATTATCGAAGCATTGGAACTACAAATTTTTAATGCATGAAGCTTTCCCGGGTTTTGCTTGGCCGAATGCAGTACTTAGATATCCATTTCTTGTCTGTCTTCTGAAAATATCAAACATAATTTAGATATGAATGTAAGACCAGGAATAATAATAAGAGTAATTACCATTATTAGGTCTCCGCACAAAATTAAAGGATCTCTCCAGAAATTATGCCTGGTTTGCCATGGCCGATCATTTACCCTCTGTTCAGTTGTTTTATGTCGGGTATCTATATCAAAAACTATGAATAGAAAAAATAAAATATGACAAACGCAGGCGCAACACTTCTGGTCCCAAGAAGTCTCAGTCGGCCTGGCTGAAATAAATGTAATATTTTGATTAAGTTAAACAACTAAGTTAGTACTGAAGTACTATTTATACAACCATTTAATGAACACCTCATACCATTTACCACTGGTAAAGATTAAAAACATTTCAAGTGTCACTGAAATGCAGAATTTGTGTTGAAGATAGCATCCGGAGGCGTATATTTATTAATGGCGAAAATATCTGTGATACTAACCTTTGTAACGCTGAAATAAAGGTTATAAAAAGACAAAATTCATTTTATCACTCACCTTTTTATTGTTTTTTAGATTAAAATTAACTATTTTCACTTTTTTTTCACTTTTTCCAACAAATTTAAAAATGATGTGACCCTGCATTATATTCTTGATAATACCATACAAAATGCAGATAATTGTGGGGTAAATTTCGTTGTAAAGTTGGGTCACACTTTGGCGCCGAATAAATATTGAAACAATACTTTTCAGGGACCGTAATCATTAAAGGTTACGTATATTATAGGTATATTAGGCATTTTTCGTGTTATCAATACCACCAACACGGATTTTTATATTTTAACAACACTTAAAAATGGCTTAGGCCACGATCTGACGATCAAATTATTTTATTTCACAGAAAATGTTTAAAAATGTATAAAACCACAATAGTTTTCTTTGTAATTTAATGTAATTCCTTGATTAATGTGATCAAATATTTTAATCGTCTTACCGTGGCTTTTCTCTATAATTTGGTTGAATCCCACATTCATCCTTATTATTATTTGAAAAATGTTGAGTAGACATTACGATAATAGTTATATAGTTTAATTTTTTGATTAACAATTATTCATATTTTTTCTACGAATTTTAAAATTACTGAAAAATTAAAAAAAAATGTGAGAACAAGTCTCTTGGTTTTGGTGCAAATCATAGAATTTTTGAATTTTATAAGTTGGTGATTTTTTTGTTCAAAAATATTATAATCGTGGTGCCACAGAAATCACACAGCGCATAAGTGGCCTGATATTGATGCTACTCAGAAACCCACCCCCATTTAACGCTCAGAAATTATCTAACCCCACACCGCCGCCTGCAAAAAGGAACAGGATTTCAAGAACACAAAAACCAACTTCTCACATTCCCGCTGGGCTATTGCTTTGGATTGGTTGAGTGTAGTCTTCAAAAACAGGATCGATTTGTGGATTAGAATGAGTTATGGAGTCTTCGTCTTCTGATGGGCTATTGCAATACAAATTTGCACTTTTTTTTTTACTCAGAGTACAGTACTGTACAATAGTAATTGAGACGACACTCATAGTATTGTTCAGATTGAGAAGCATAACACATAGTTTTAAAAAAGTGTTCACTCTAAAATAGTGTACTCAGTTACTATCGGTAAAGTGGATACTCTCTACAATATTGTATAAGTACACTAAATTTGAGTACCGTGTACAGCTGTACAGTACTGTAAGTTTGGAAATAAATACATTCATGCAGGCCTCTAGTACAGACAGACAGACAGACAGACGGACAGACGGACATGACTATATCGACTCGGCTAGTGACCCAGATCAAGAATATATATACTTTATAGGGTCGGAAACGCTTCCTTCTTCCTGTTACATACTTTTGCACGAATACAATATACCCTTGTACTCTACGAGTAACGGGTATAACTATTGTATTTTAACGAATTAAGTTAAAAAGGCGTTGAAGTATTTCAAAATACCTTTTAAACGAGGTATAGCACATGTCTGTACCTTTAGTAGTGTAGAACTTACAAACTAACGAAATTTAGCTATTTTTAGCTTTTTCCCGTTAAAGTAGCGGCTTTTTCTAAAAGTCGTAGAACAAAAGATTCCTATATGGAACTCTTAAGTGCAAATTTACTGATTCCATGACCCTAAAATACAGTTCGGATACCCTCACACCAAATTCAATACTCAGGGAGCGTTAGTTGTTCAAGCTGGCAAAAGTGGCTATTTTCATATAAAAATAACTTTTAAACGTGACTTTTTTCAGTAATGTGCTATATACCAAAATTTAAGGAATCTCAAGGGCTATACAGAAAAATTTTGAAAAAAATAAAAAAAAGGTAAAAAAATTCTTTAAAAATTGTCTTTTGTTCATATCTTTTTAACTATTACATTTACACAAAATAGCATTAAAAATACCTTTCAAACGAGATGCAGCACAAGTCTGTAGCTTTAGTAGTATTGAAGTAACGGCTTTCCGAATTTTAGCTATTTATAGCTGTTTTCCCGCTAAACTAGCGAGTTTTTCCAAAAGTGGTAGAACAAAAGTTTTTTATATCGATGTGATGAACGTCATATCAAATTTTCAAAACTTAAAAACCATGTTTTGGACAAACTGACAAACTGACAAACAGAATTAGGTTTTCATTTTGGGAAGACGAAGAAAATCGTATTTTGGCTATAACTTTTGAACGGAGCGTCGGATTTTATCATATCACCCAATAGGAACACAACTAAAACATTGCCAGGGGGCATTTATCCCCACCGGCCCCAACAGCTCCAAATTTCGAAATTTGAACTTTTCACTTTCACAGCTCTCTCTCCCAAGCCAATTGATTTTCTTAAAGTCTTGGTATGCAATCCTTTACGATTTTGTGATAGCTCCCATAGGAAAGATCGGAAAAAAACGTTAAAAAAAATTCTAGCTTCGGTGTTTTTTTAAATATTACCTTCTACTCTTGGGGATATTATTTTTTAAATATATCTGAATTTCGCTTTAAATATTTAAAAAATCGAACGACTACATCATATAGCTGCCATAGGAACGAGCAATCTGGCTCATCAAGCTCTCGCTGACAGATTCGACCATAAGCGCAACCAATACTGCGACTATGACCAATAGTTCTACCAACCTAATATTTAGTAAAAGAAACGCGTTGAGGATGAAATTTCCCTTCAGAAAATACTTATTTCAAAAAATCTCGCGATCGACCAATGTCCAATAAAGCGTCCCGAACAGAATGAAACTATTTTCTTAAATTTGACATTTGTAGCTTAAAGCTCCAATTTTGTATGCAGCCCTCTGGTTCTAGGGAACTTTAGTGTCCCCTTCACTATTTTTGCCCCCTTCCCCACTATTTAAATTGGAATAGCAAGATTGTAAAAAGTTCTTAGTAATAACCCTAATATATATAATAATACACACCTTGGCTTGGAACTGCTCCAAGGTTATGTTGGAGTGTTGTTGGAGAAGCGAAAGGATTCGCTGCTGCTCGGTGCGCTGCCAGGCAGACAGTTGCTCGATGCTGAGTTTTCCCTGCTGTTTCAGTCGATCTATTTCGCTTTTTAGCCACTCCTCGATCTCCTCGACTGAAGTGTGGTACTGGAATGCCATTGTCTGCATGTGTTCACGATCTTTTTCTAGCTCGGTTTTAAGCTCATCAGCGCTCCACTGCTTATTCTGCTTGATGAGGGCCTCCAGACGCTCGCGCTCCGCCAGCTGCCAAGAGGTAAGGTTGTCGATTTGAAGCTGACCCTCATCACGCATGCGCGCCAGCTCTTGCTTCATCCACCTCTCGATCTCCTCTACTTGGACGCTGTACTGGCGGGCTAGGCTTTCAAGTAGTTCTCGATCTTGTCTGAGACGTGTCTCCAATTGCTCTGTAGACTTGTATTGCTGCTGGGCCAGGTTCTCCAGATGCAATCGCTCCACCTCTTGCCAATTGGTCAGCTTTTCACTGGGCTTTAAGAGGCCCATTCCAATGAAGCGCTGCTCCTCCTTTTGAACGAACTGCTCAATCTCCTCAATCTGCACGTTGTGTTGCATAGCCAAGCTCTGCAATTGGGCGCGGTCCTTCAGCAGCCACTTGTGGAACTCCTCAACGGTGTAGTCGCGGTCCTGAACCATGTTGGTGAGATTACCCCGCCACTCCACCTGCCAGTCCTTTAGCTTCTGCATCTCAAGCAGGCCCTGGTCTTGCAACTTTTGAATCTGCTGTTTGATCCACTGCTCGATCTCCTCAACTCGCACCTGGTGCTGTTGGGCCAAGCTGTATAGGTGAGTCTGGTCCCTGCCTATCTTTGACTCGATCTCCTCGATGGAAAGATTATTTTTATTGATAAGGTCTAGTAGGCGCTGGTGCTCAATCTTTTGCCAGTTGTTTAGCTGAGACTCCATCCTCAGGTGTCCCTCTTGTTGGAGGCGATCGCCCTCGGACTTGATCCATTGTTCAATCTCAGATACCTTTACATTATAGGTGTTGGAAAGATCTTGGAGACGTGAACGATCTGACAGCATTTTGCGCTCAAACTCGTCGAGCGAGAATTTATTCTGCTGCACTAGCAACGATATTTGAGCGCGCTCATTCTCTTGCCAGTCCTTCAAGGTTTCAGCCTTGACCAGACCCTCGCTCTGCAAGCGCAGTATCTCCTTTTTAAGCCAGTTCTGAATGTCCTCGACATTGATCTTGTACTTTTCGGCCAGCTGAAAGAAATGCTCCTGATCATTTTTGATTTTTGCCTCCAACTGCTCCACGGTCAGCGTGTTGTGCTGAACGATGACCTGTAGGCGCTCGCGCTCTGCTTGCTGCCACTGAATCAACTCTTCCTCCATACCCTTAAGTAAACCTTCTGACTGTAACTTTTTCAGCTGGATCTTGATCCATTGCTCGATCTCCTCCACCTTTACCTTATATATGCGAGCCATCTCCTCCAAGTGGCCGCGGTCATTGATGATGTAGTTCTGAAACTCCTCAATGGTCAAGTCGTTCTGACTCACAATGTCGCGCAGGTTGGTGCTTACGCGGTTCTGCCAGTCCTTAATGTGGTTCTCCAGCTGCTGTTGTCCACTCACTTGAAGGCGCTGCAGCTCTTCATGCTGCCACTTCTCCAGCTCTTCAACGGTCACTTGGTACTTGGTAGCCAGATTCTGAAGGTAGTTCCGATCTAGGTTTATCCCTTGCTGAACTTCGTCCACAGAGCCCCGGTGTTGTAGCAGGATATTCTCTAGGCGGGAACGCTCTGAGATTTGCCATGCAGTGATCTTGGAAACCTGCTCGTTTTGGACCTTAATTAGTTCTCCGATTCGGGCAACCTCACCGCGAAGCCAATTCGTTTGGCTTTGCATATCACCCTGGTACTTAATTGAAAGATTCTTTAATCGCTGTTGGTCGTTTTTGATGGAGTTTTGAAGAGCGGTAATTGTCGTATTGTGCTGATGAATCAGCTCCTCCAAACGCGTTTGCTCCTTCGTATTATCCTCGGTCAGGGAACTGGATGAGCGGTAGGAGTAGTTGGTTTGCGGCGCTAGCGACTCGTTCACGTGGCTAAAGTGCACGTAAAGACGCTGCAACTCCTGACTCTGCCACTGCCGCAATTCTTTCTGAGTGATGCCATATTGCTGGGCCGCCTGGGCAAGCTTTCGTTCGTTCTCGTTTTGCCAGCGTTCAATTTCCTGGGAAGTGAAGCCATTTTGGTGAATCAGCCAATCCAGGCGACCACGTTCCTGTCTCTGCCAACCGCTTGTGTCCTGAACCTGCGGCTGGTACTGAGCCAGAAGAGCCATGTAGCGGGCCAATTCGCGGCGGTGGAACTCTTTTAGGACGGGAAGAGTTATCTTATAGCGCTGGGCAACGCCTATCAGACGTTCCTCCTGCTGTTGCTGCCAATCGTTAAGTCGTTGCGGTGTAGTTAGATACCAGAACAGTCTTTCGCGCTCCTCGCGCTTCCACTGCTCGTCCCGCGATACTGTCGTCTGACCGAAGGGCTGCCGCTGATCAAATACCAACTTGCCATCCTGCCAGCGCTGCTGCCACTCCGAACCCCCTACGGAACTGGTTCCGTCCGGATTCGTAGTGATCGTTTTGTTAAAGCTATGTATTGACATGGTCGAGCTGACTCCGGGTGACGTAGGGGCAATTTGATTATAGGCGCTCTTTGTCAACTGGCCGTCCACATTAACCACCGAGTTGTAGCCAACGACGCTAGGCTCCATGTTCTCCCTTACCCAGTCATGAATGGTCTTCTTTCGCGTGATGGTGGTCGTAGTGCTGCTGTGTGGCACCGATATCTGTCCTTGCTCGTGAAATCTTTGGTTCCGCTGAGCTGAGCCTCTGAGTCCTGATAACTTTGTGGCTTCAGTACAATTTCGGTGTACAACATAAGTTTTTCCGTCAATAACCTTTACCTCAGCGGGATAGGCGTAGTTCTTGACCTCGTCAAATCCGGTCAAGTCTACTGGTTGAAAGGGACCAAGGCCAACGGTCTGTTGTAGGCTTTTGTGGCTCTCGCTTTTTGCGTAAAGCTCAAGCAGCTCAGTGGCCTTTGCTTCAAAGAAGTTTGGCTGCGCTATTGTACTATAAGTGGTAATGCCCCGGCGCATATCCGCCACCAGCTTCTCGCTTATTTCATAACTCAAGGCATCTAGTTGAGAGGAACTTCTTCCGCTAAGGTTCAAAATAGAAGCTGGAAAACAGGATGAAAATTGATTATTGAAATTTGATCAAGATGTATATTAACATTTAGGTATCTAACATTTCGGCAAGCCGAAGTTTAGATACTATATCCGACTATCGGATAACCGTTACTCATCTAAAAAAAATGTGAGGGAGAAGAAGATAAGCAAGCATCAAAGCGACATCTAGCGCCAAAAACTCGGCTTTTTTTATGGGTATAGATAATATATGTAACATGAAAAATTTACCACGATGAATGCTTCCAAATCTTATTCGCTTTGACACACCAATTTGAAATGCGTTTACAAAAAGACTCCCCTACGCAAGGATTTTGAGAAAATCCGTATTTTGTATTGCATATTATATTCGTGAGAGCTATTAGATACCTGTTACTCAGCTAATCAACTGATCTCGGAAGGTTGAGATTTCCCACACATATTTTTGGGCTTCCTACGCAGCGCAAGTTTATTTCAGCCCGTTGCCACGCCCCATTTAGCGCTCACAATCGCCCACTAACGATTTTTAAATGTGTCTGGCGCCCACACCTTTAAAGTTTTCCGAGAAGTATAAGTGCAATTTAGTTACCTATCAAAATGAAAAATACTTTTTTAAATCGGATCATTCATTAAAAAGCTATGCGCAATTAATAAAATGTTATATATCCATCTCCCTAGCACTCCCTTTAGCCGAGTGACGGGTATTAGACAGTCGGGACACCAACCCGACTATACCGCTCTCTCTTGTTTGAAAATGTAATCTAACTTAACCACTAGAGAAGGAGACCGCATTCAAAATTTAAAAGTCACAGCCAAATTTAAAAATCGTTTTTTTTGTGAACAGCGTTTAAAAATTAAATAAAACACAAATAAATCACTAATTAACAAAAAGGGAGACACGCCCTATAACAATCGCATAATGCAATTGGGAAATAGATTATTTCCAAACAGACAACGAACACAGCTTTCACACACTTTAGAAGTTTAGCGACGAAGCGTAAGTCACACCTATAAGTATGTAATCGAGTATTACTATAAAAGAGTAGATGTCGATTTGCGTCATGTTCCCCCAGCCCAAATCATAAGACCTAAAATTCTGGAATAAATTGGGTCAGAATCGTGTGTTAGAGAAGGTGTGCACTAAGAAAGGATTTTTAAAAATTAGGCTCCTAAGGACTCCCAGGACTCTCGAAAAATGCGAAATTGCGGGTTTAAAACATGAACCATTCCCACAGTTTTCAACCAAACAAGTTGATATTTTTATTTTAAGCTTTATGTGTAGAAATCTTTGAAAGCCCAGAAGATGAGCCCCCACCGACTTCCGGTTGGGGCACTTAATTAATTTTTCCGCACCGATTATGCGATCGCATCCGTTTTTGTTTTAAAGTGTGGAGCTATGCCATACAATTAGTAAGGTAGTTTTTTTTATTTTTTAGACCCACGGTTGATTTTATATGATCCTTTTTGTTTGCGGGGGTTGCGGGGGCCTCTATAGCAGTACGTTTTTTTGTTTTTCGCAGCACTCACGAACGTCAGCAAAAGCAAAGCGACAGAGTAGTGAGCAGAGAGAGAGTCATTTGAAGCGAAAGAGAGGCTGCCAATGTTTATACCCTTGCAGAGGGTATTATGATTTCAGTCAGAAGTTTGCAACGCAGTGAAGGAGACGTTTCCGACCCCATAAAGTATATATATTCTTGATAAGCATCACTAGGCGAGTCGATCTAGCCATGTCCGTCTGTCCGTCTGTCCGTCTGTCCGTCCGTCTGTCCGTCCGTCTGTCCGTCCGTTTCTACGCAAACTAGTCTCTCAGTTTTCAATCTATCGGGATAAAACTTTCCCAAAAGTCTTCTTTCTATTGCAGGTAGTATATAAGTCGGAAAGAGCCGGATCGGACAACTATATCATATAGCTCTCATTGGAACAATCGGGGAAAAAAATGTAAAAAAAATATATCTTGGGTGTTTTTGAACCTATAACATCCTACTTTTGGAAATGTAATTTTTTATCAAATTCTGAATTTCGAATAAAATTTTTTCAAAATCGGACGACTATATCATATAGCTGCCATAGGAACGATCGGAAAATTAATGGGAATATAATAGTAAATAAATTATTGCTTCGTTGGTTTTTATTGTATTCTCTTCTACTCTAGGATATAACTCTTTTCAAACATTTTCGAATTTCGATTTTAATTTTATCAAAATCGAACTACTATATCATATAGCTGCCATTGAAACGAACGCAAAATTAATGAGAAATAATAGGAAAATTAACATTTTTGCGATTTGTAAATTAATAGGAATTATCTGCAAGGGTATATAAGCTTCGGCTGGCCGAAGCTAGCTTCCTTTCTTGTTTTTTTTCTGGTTTAGAAACACCTGATAAAATTTGTACTATTTGGATGCCAGAACGGATTATCTAATGGACGCAATTCTAAGTCAAAGTGTGTAGCCAACCCATTAAATGCAAAAGGAATTTTTGTGTTGATTTTAAAAAAATGTTGGATTGGGTTTCAAAGGGAGAGCAGGAAAAAACTTTCATTTTAAAAAAATGTTGGATTGGGTTTCAAAGGGAGAGCAGGGAAAAACTTTCACTTTTTTGCATGTGAGAAACGCAATGACACACACACACATCGATAAATTTGCATGTACATACATAAGTATGTAATGATTAAATTAGGATAAAATAACGGATCCCCAATACAGCCATTCTAAATCAAATATTTTGCAAAAAGTTAAATTATGTTAAAGACGAGGGGCACACGAAGAAAATTGTTGGCAAATTTCGTCTCCAAAATTGCACCTACTGTTTTCTCCAGCTGTTGATCCCCAGCCGACATTGGGGCACTTCTTTTTTTGTTTACCTACCGATCCTGCGAGCGGATCCGTTTTTCGCTTAAAGCATTTTGGCCGTAGCCTTTCATAGGTATTTGTGTGTTATTTTTTATATAATCTTTTTTATGTTTTTAAGGTTTTTGGGGGTTAGATCTGTTCGAAATCTGCATTCGCTTAGCTAACCAAAATGATATAATTAGGCTACCAGAACGGTGGAGTTAAGGTGGAAATAAGGTGAGGTTAGGGGTTAAGTCGCGATTAAGGAGGTAGGAGGAGGAAGGGTGAAGGTGAGAAAGGTAAGGTTCGTTTGGACTTTAGTGAGGATAAGGACAAGGTGACAAACAAGTTTTACTAAAAAAAGTGAATTTAAAGTAAGTAAGTATAGTAAGAAAAATTTTTTTTCAGGTGAGACTAAAGTTATGTTAACTAAGAAGAGGAAAGACTAGGAAATAGTGAAAACAGCATTAAGGTGCTAAAAAAGTGTGCCAAGGGTTCGAATAAAATAGGTGGGGTTAAGGTGAGGTAATATTAGGGTTAATGCGGTAAGGTATGTTATGGTTAGAAGGATTAGAATATTAGTGCGTTTTATGTGGGTTTACTGTTTAGCTATGGTTAGGCGGGATTTTACTCTGATATTAATTTGAATTTAAATATATGTAAAAATCAGCAATAAATGCTTTGCTAATAGTAGCGGACAACGTCGCTTCGGGTATTGCTAGTCCTTAATTATATATTTCTAGATGTGGTATAAATAGAAGTTTGAACCCTCAGCATTATTGTATTTCGAAATAAATTTGAATTTACTTAAAATTTGTCATTTACCCAATTCAAATTTTTATAAGTTCATTTTTTAGTTTGTTTAAAAAAAATGGTCCATTAATATTTATTTAAATATTATAACAGTAACAGTTTTAAGAAATTGCGTTTTTACTGAACTAATACAAATTATTTAGTCGGATATATGTATACCGCTTTAGAAAGGGTTAAAGGGGTAAGAAGAAGACTTGGTGCATCGCATTGTTTTCGAAGGTTTTCTGAGAGAAGGAGGTTTTGCGTGATTAGTTAAATATTTTGTACATAACTAGCAATACCCGAAGCGACGTTGTCCGCTACTATTAGCAAAGCATTTATTGCTGATTTTTACATATATTTAAATTCAAATTAATATCAGAGTAAAATCCCGCCTAACCATAGCTAAACAGTAAACCCACATAAAACGCACTAATATTCTAATCCTTCTAACCATAACATACCTTACCGCATTAACCCTAATATTACCTCACCTTAACCCCACCTATTTTATTCGAACCCTTGGCACACTTTTTTAGCACCTTAATGCTGTTTTCACTATTTCCTAGTCTTTCCTCTTCTTAGTTAACATAACTCTAGTCTCACCTGAAAAAAATTTTTCTTACTATACTTACTTACTTTAAATTCACTTTTTTAGTAAAACTTGTTTGTCACCTTGTCCTTATCCTCACTAAAGTCCAAACGAACCTTACCTTTCTCACCTTCACCCTTCCTCCTCCTACCTCCTTAATCGCGACTTAACCCCTAACCTCACCTTATTTCCACCTTAACTCCACCGTTCTGGTAGCCTAATTATATCATTTTGGTTAGCTAAGCGAATGCAGATTTCGAACAGATCTAACCCCCAAAAACCTTAAAAACATAAAAAAGATTATATAAAAAATAACACACAAATACCTATGAAAGGCTACGGCCAAAATGCTTTAAGCGAAAAACGGATCCGCTCGCAGGATCGGTAGGTAAACAAAAAAAGAAGTGCCCCAATGTCGGCTGGGGATCAACAGCTGGAGAAAACAGTAGGTGCAATTTTGGAGACGAAATTTGCCAACAATTTTCTTCGTGTGCCCCTCGTCTTTAACATAATTTAACTTTTTGCAAAATATTTGATTTAGAATGGCTGTATTGGGGATCCGTTATTTTATCCTAATTTAATCATTACATACTTATGTATGTACATGCAAATTTATCGATGTGTGTGTGTGTCATTGCGTTTCTCACATGCAAAAAAGTGAAAGTTTTTCCCTGCTCTCCCTTTGAAACCCAATCCAACATTTTTTTAAAATGAAAGTTTTTCCCTGCTCTCCCTTTGAAACCCAATCCAACATTTTTTTAAAATCAACACAAAAATTCCTTTTGCATTTAATGGGTTG